AGTACACAAAGGATTAGGTGGGTGGATTTACAACGTACATAGTAAAAAATACTGCAATATACTCTATCACAACTCTTATCATTTCTGTGATGCACCGCTGACAGGTCTACAAAGCTTGTTTATGTCAGTAAACTAAAGAGAGACACATCCAAAGATGCACAGGATGCAGATATGAGCAGTAATAAGGTGCCATTTTCACACAGGCACTTTTCTGGCTATTTCTTCATTTTAATAGATGTCCACTTAAATTTTACTAGTGATCCATCCGCTATAGGCTTGAAAAGCTACTATCTATTCTGACTGCAGTTTTCCCGAGCCAAGAAAACACATGGTGTGCAGGAAAAGGCCAAATGTTTGAAAACGTGGGCAACTCCCCTGCTGTTCACAAACACTAATGCCACCAAACCCAGCATAGTCTCCATTATAAAAACAAAGGCAAAAATCCAAATGTAAAACACAGTTATTGTCATTAGAGTTCAACTAACAATCCTTGATGACATTACATTTTGGAACAGTAATCCTTACAGAACTCTGCTTTCTAACCATCTGCAGCCTCCATCCATCTGCAGCCGCTCTGTTGATGCAAGAAGATATACTGTTCTCCAGAGCAATTTTGCTGAGTGCTTTTTGTTCCAACCTGGAACAGGACATCCAGACCAAAATGGATATGGTCTGATGGGCACGGCTGCAGAGCTGACTGCAGAGCAAAATTTAGAAATAAGAGACCAAAACCAGTGGCATCTTAAAGAGTAAGCAGCATCAGTAAAGAGTCCATCCTTTTGGATTTCTTCCCTTCAGTGACCAGACTTCAAAGGACAATGACTTTCATTGGAAGTGGGGTCTATATGTAACTAACGGAACTGTGCCAATCTCTGCCATTTTCATTTACTTACATGTTAGATCTCCATCCCCACTCTTTGTCTTTTTAGACTGTAAGGTCACTGTGATAGGGACCCTCTTTTCATCTGCGTTTATAAAACACCCAGCATGGTGAGGTTCCAGTCCTGATAAGAGCCTTTGGGTGCAATAAGTTGGGCCTATATAGGTTATGAGATGTACAACTCTCTACTTAATAATAATACCTTTTGCAGGAGCGTGGCAGGCCAAACCAGTCCTAAAAGAAATTCAGCAGCAAGCTCTGGATAAAAATCTCAGACAAAAATGAGTTTGACACTATTTCTCCTGTTTACTGGGTTCTCCTTATCTTCTCTTCAATTTAAATCAACTTCCAGTGTTAAAGCCAAGTTGTAGACAGTAATATTATTCTATTAAATCAACAATGTATCACTGATGACATGTCCATCACTTGCTCCTCTCGTACCTTCTAAGTAAAGTTTGCAATAACAAAAATGTTGCTGCTCTCAGCACTGCTGGGACAATGTAGCTGTGCAAGAATAACCTTGATTCTGCTGTGTTTCATGCATTCTCATCAACAGAATATCTAGCTGATGCCCCAAAAACTTTATCATTGTACTGAGAATGGATGTAAAAACAGCATAAATTTGATTTTCAATGTCTAGGCTCTCTACCTAGCTTGAAGAGCGAGCAGTTAAAAAGTTATCCTTTTAATTTATAAACTGAGCACATTCGACACACAAGCCACTGAAAGATATACCCTAAGATGTCATTTTCACACATCCGCTTTTTGGATTGTAACTTCCCTTTGAAAGCAAGAGTCAGTGAAATCACTCACAGCTCTGATGTGCATTAGCTTATATCTTTTTAACCCACCGTGAAGTGCTGCATCTTTGATGTGAGCTAATTAAGCTCACATGGCTTTCCCCAGACTGCCTTCTGGAGCTCTGGAATGACGAGTGCCAAATTAGACCCATCTGTCTAAATGGAAGGGAGTTCTCTCCAGTCATAATGCATGCTTCGTTACCCAGCACAGAAGCTGCCTTCCAAAATTCCTGAGTGCCAGGAAGGAGATTGCCTACGTGCCGAAGTGTATCTGGAATAGTCACTATATACAGTTTGAAATATAACATGGTATCTCGGGATTAGATTGAACCACTAAACTGTTCCATTTACTTATTCATGCAGAAGGTTCAGCTGTCCGCGCCCTATGGAATGTTCCATATGGACCCCGCAACATTCAATACTTCAGCTTGAAAGCATTTTCTTCACAGCATTTAATTGGTTACACAATGGTAATCCTGCTAAAGATGAAATATTTTTCCATTTAAAAAAATAAATCAAGAGGGATTAACTAACTTAAATCAAATACAGGAGATTATTTTCTTATAGCTTGATTCTGAAACTCTTCCAGTTGCACTACTCCCAGTGAAGTCAATGAGAGGTTTTCAATTGGCAGGACTGCTAGATTCTTAAGAAAGAAAGCCCTATGTGGTCCATTTCATACCATTGCTGCAGCAACAGAAAGTCACTAATTGCTCCCAGAATCACTGAGCTGTCTATGTTATAAATCAGATGGAGGAGGGAGGGTAAGGAAAAGATGGGAAATTTTTGCTTCTCTGTGCTATTAAAGACAGTGATACGTACAACCAAAAGTCTATAAGCCAAATTCACCTATGACTGAAGGCTCACGAGCATCCTTTGCATGTTAGACCTATCACAACATTGGACATATCTGAAGAGGCAAATGGTCTTGCACGAAAAGTACAGAAGAAAGAATCAAGTGACCTGGTTCTATTGTTGTCTTTGCAACAGGCTTGTAAATCAATATGCAAGTCCTCTGTGCCTCAGTTTACTTGTATAAATTAGGGATGCTCCACCTCCCAGTTATTTTGCCTGAAAGACCCTTGGAGATCTCTGGGTAGATGGTACTAAAGAAGTGTTTGATATGTACTAGACCATATCATAGCTGTTATGAACCAATAGTGATTAACTTCACTGCTCATGGCTTATAAACTCTCCGCCTTTGTTAACTGCTTTGGCATATTTGTTACTCAAACACTATCATCACAACATAATCAAACATGCCAAGGTCCAAGGTTAAGAAATATTCCTGAAGCGATCACAACAGGCTGTGAAGTTTTAAGAACTCAGCATGTTTCTATACATTACAGGGATTTTTATTGACAGTCTGAAAGCCAATAAAAACCCTTTATAATGAAAAAAGCATTATAAGTAATAATACATAGTCTACATTCTACATATCCTGATTGCTGAACAAATAGTTAACTAATGTAAACAAAAGGAAAAGGAAACAACTAGCAACTGTCAAACAATTTAGAATCTCACTTAAAATTTTAGAATGGGATCTTTTACAATAAATTAAAAAAAACAAAACACTGATAACTGTGGTCTATGTCTCTATCCATTTCTGTTACTGTGAACCTACATGCTTCTGACAAGTGAGATTAAATTCTCTGGGACGAGCTTAATGCAGGTCAGTATCTTTGTACTAGGGATGTAAGAGTTTAACCAGTTAAGTAATAAGCTCATGCTTATCGGTTCCACAGTTAAACTCACATGAGGCTGGCAGCCCACAGGGCCAAGAATCAGTGGGGCCAGAAGGGCTAGCAGCCTGTTGCACACATTTAATCTTGTAACCAATGGAACTGTAATCATCTTACACAGTTAATATTTTTTAGCCCTTTTTACATCTCTACTTTGTACAGATTGCTGCAATTTGGGAGATCTGAATAAAAGACAACATTTTATAGTTGTGAGGAACTGTATTTTAAAATGATATAATATGGAGTTTAAGAACAGTATATTTCCTAATAACTACACTGGAAATATCTTTGAGCAAAGAAATAAATAATTCATCTCATATTAAATCAAGCATTTTCTTCCATCTCAGTCAACTTCTGTAAGGAAATCTGTATATACAAAAATATACAAGAAATAACCTAACACAATCTGCAACCTAATGAATTATATGAAGAGACCTACTGTAACGAGGCTGGGACAGCAACATGGCCTCCCTCTGACCCAGAAGACGAAGGGCTCACTAAGACCCCTTAGTGGGCTAGTCCAGCCTCGCCTAGCCCCGTCCACGGATGCAGGAAGGCGGGACTAGGAGTTTAAAAGCTGAGAACTCAATAGGAGCCCAACAGCCGAACAGGCCAGATGCTCAGCCCCAGTTCCCACAGTGCAGGGTTCAGCCACGCCATACCTGACAGGAGGAATGGATCGGGCCGCCAGGACCCCTTCCAGACCCTGAGGACTGGCCCAAGTTGTTGAGACTGCTGCCACAGCCCGAAGACACGCCGAGACCTCCGGGACCCCCACTGGATCCTGATGACTGGACTGGTCCACCTAGGCCCCTGCCTGAACCCATAGACACACTGGTAGCCCTTTCCTTCCACAGCTGGCCCCAAGGAGCAGCTCCCGAGCCTGGTAGGCCCCCACGGGGAACTGGGAAGCAGCCCAGGGACAGCCAATCTTGGGGCGGCTGAGGAGATGGAGGTCGGGTGGGTAGTGTGTTATGGCTTGGATCTCTGCTGACCCACAGACCTAGTCAGTGTGTTGTGGCCTGGATCCCCACCGACCCAGTGGCTGCTGCCCTGCCACTGTCAGGGTCCTGGGCTGGGACGCACTGGAGCAGGTGGGCCTGCGTCCCCTGCCACCTCTCCCCTCAGGTGGCAAGTTCCCCCTGTGAGGGCAAAACCCCAGAACTTGTCAGCTTTCCACCAGCAAGACCCCACCTCTGCCCAGCTGGGACCCGGCTGGAGCTTTAAACTGTTGAACTGCTCGTGTTAAACATTTGTTTGTCTGCCCCACCATGATCCAGTGCTGGGCCTTCTAAACTGTTGCTCGGCCAGTGGCTAGGTCGAGACGTTCCAAGCAAACTTTCTGGGTACTGAGGCACTGCAATTGCCCTCTTGTGGGGCAGTCTAGGAATCAGCATGGCCTCCCGCTGACCTTGACCCTTTACACCAACCCCACCATTTCCCATAAAAGTAATTAAGACCATCAGTTTGTAGTGTTATACTGTGGACACAGACGTGCACACACAGCCCTATTTCCCTGAGCTGTAATGCTGAATATTCCATCAGCAGCATATGCAAAAAAAGCCTTACCACGCTTACCATATCAAGGTCTTGAGAAACCCTGCGTTTGCGTAGCTCCTCCATCCGCTCACACACATCAGTAAAACAGGTGTTATAGTAATCTGCATACTGCTGTGCCAGGTCATCGATGTTTCCCAGTGACCCATCCTAAGGAGAAGAGACAATGAAATTAAAAAAAAAGTTTAATGAAACTTAAAAATCTCTCAGATTGTAAAAGTAACCACAGTGATTATACATGAAAGGGGATTATCAGGCCATCTTATTTGTGTAAAATTTACTGAAACGGTCATTGCTCAGGGCTGTGGCTTGCTATAGCTTGCTGCTATAGCATGAGTGTTTGCTATTACATTACTGATATGTAACTGATGAAAGCTGATGTCATGGCAGCTAAGAGGCAAACCTCTGGCATCACATTAATGCCTGAAGCTCTCATTTGTGGATTACCAATTCCTTTTGTTGCAATATGACATATCCAGCAGGGAGTTCCTTGAAGTTGCTCTTCTAGATAATAGGGTTGCAGCACCTTCTGTGCAAGCCTCTCCTGCTCCCACTACAGCATAGAAACCAGCAGAGAGCCGGAGAATGCAGTGTGTGCGTACTTATGGGCTGTGAGGTTGGGGCCATGCGAGTGTCTAGGTAGGTACAGATGACAAAAACATGTAGCAGGGAAACAATGTGGCTCTAGAAACAACCCCCAGCCTGTTCCTTGCTGCACTAGGGTTGCACGCGACTAGTCAGCTAATGATGCAACTAGTCGCTTCCCCCCACTTGAGGCAGTAAAGGTAAGAAGCGCTTAAAAGCTGGTTCCCCCTAGCACCATCTCCGTAAAGAGCAAGGGAGGTAGAGGCACAGTGGGAAATGGCGCTTGCGCCACTTCTGCTGTGATTCTGCCCCACTGGGCCTCTTGTGCATGTCAAAGGCTCAGGCGCCGCAGGGAGCACAGGACCAGTTCCCCTCAGGCCCCATGTTCCCTGTGGGGTTCCACTTTTCAACTGTAGCAAAAGCCTGGTAGGGCTCTTGGTACAGTTCAAAGGAGGAGGCGCCTTTAGCGACTAATCGAATAATTGATAGAAATCCCATCGACTATTCAATTAGTTAATTAATCTAAATTTCACATCTAGTTAATTAATTAATCTAAATTTCACATGTTGCACCAGAAACTCCAATACATATACAAGCTCACCTGGGTGTCCTAGGCGCCCAGCCACTCATTCCATTACAACCCTAGCTGTCCCAATTGACAATATTTCCACCTCAGTGTATACCATTATTTGCTGAGAGTGGCTCTGCCATCTCTGACAACAGCATACAACCCCACTTCAAACAGCATACTCTTCACTTACAAGCACAATGAGCACTAAGCAGGACTGCAAATTGTTCCAGTATAACCAGCATTAATGGGAAAGTTTCTGCCACCCATAATGACACTACCAGTTAACCATTATATCACAATTTAAATGTGAGAAAAGAATAAAGAGAACAATCAAGACAACCTGTCACAGGCCCTCTCCCATGCTTTATGAAAATTGGCTTATGAAGATACATTAGACAAAATACCTCATGAATGTGCATGTATTTTTATGCATGTATCATTCTTGTATGTGAAGTTAGAAATATGAAGTGTGGATCTGTTTATAATTCTAAATATGCTCATGAGGGCCACTACTGATGTTCCAGAAACTTAATGGCTCAATGATCAAGCCAACGACTCATGAATGGTTTTATTCTTCCTATAAACTCAGTCTGGGATTGGTCCTAGAAAGACATGCGGTCCTAGAAAGACATCTTGTACTTTTTCACTTGAGGTGAGAAATTTTGAACTGAGCACAAATAATTTCTGCCTTCAGCAAAAAGAATGGAAGGGAGACAAAGACACTTGCCAGATGCCAAGAGACTCCCCTCTTACTACCTAAGATGCCTGCTGGAAACATCTAAGACTGAAAGGGGGAAGGATTAGGCCCAAGCTAGGAGGCTGCTTAGCTTGTGAAAGAGCCATTTATATATTCTGTTTAGGCTAAAAATTCACATGTAACAAATTTCTTAGTGTATTAAAATTTGCAGGTGTCCTTTTGTTTATTTTAACTTAGTAACTTACTTTGATCTGACTCCAGTGGTTACTCCAACTAACACAGCTACTCCTCTGATATTTGATCTGACTGTTTTCCCTTGTTACCAGTTACATCCTACTTTTTATGCTTAATAAAAACACTTTTGTCTATTATCAAGCCCAGTGTACATTATTGTTACTGGGGGAGAGGGCAGTTGAGCAACCACTGTGCATAGCTCTCTTTCATTGATAAAGTGAGCAGACCTTAAGAGCTTTCACTGTGTAAAACTCTTACACAGGGTAAGATGGATTTGTTTGAGGGTTTGGTCCCTTTTGAAGGTTCGTTTCCTGGGTGTTGAGTCCTTACAGCTGACCCCTCTTGGATCTGATCTGCTTCAGCATCTGTGTGGCTCTGCAGGAGAGTAGTTACTCCAACTCTATGCTTTGGGTAGGGGAGACCAGACAGGGTGATGGGGAGCCCCAGAGGACTAGAAGATGGGCATCAGTGACATGATCAGCACACCGAGGACAACCCTAAGAGAATGTATGTTATCTAACCTGTCACGTGAGCACTTATTAACGTTTGCTATGAAAATCAATAAAGCTGGAAGTACCAATATAGTGTTAATCCAAAAGAGACTTCTGAGAAGAGTCCTGCTGCCATGCTCTGATACAATTTAATCAATACGACATCTCTAGGGTGAGATGAAATTAAATCATGAAATCATTTGTTAACCACAGAAATTTGAAAAAGACCTATTTACTATCTAGCTCATGTTCTTGCCCAGAAAAAAAAAGGCAGTACCTTATTATTTTGATATCAGATTTTCAGATAGTCAATGAAAGCAGTAACTTCACTCCCAGTGAAAAAATACTCTATCTATGACTTTAAAAGGCTGGATCTACTAATGCTAGCACTTTTGCACATGATAAACTCAAAACACAGTCTTCCTAAACATGTTATAATGTTCATGTTACAATAAACTCAAAGTAGCATGCTCTTCTCTAAATGATGATGTGTGGCACAGACAGCAACATCTCCTATATATGCCACTTGTTGAACCAGTCACATCAGTGCTTGGAATAACTGGATAACAGCCAATCCTAATCATCTTCTTCTGGAGCTGCAGCCATTCTGGCTGGCTAACAGGTAGACTGCACAAGCCTGAGTTCGAAGGATTTTCTTCCGGTTGTTCCACAGTGACTAACTGTATGAAACAAGTTGTATGAGAAAATTCTAGCCTCAACCTGTGCTGAAAGCTGAGTATACTGGCTCGCATCACCACACAAACACACCCCTGAGCTTTGTAGGGTCATGCACACAATGCACACAGGCCTGTTTAATTATTGCTTGCCTGCTGCATTCTTAACACAGTCTGTACTAGTTTCAAACGGGGGTGACTTGAACGCTGATTTCTTCTTTGGCAGGAATAACACATTTTCCAGCAAATGTAGCCTGGGATAACTCTGGATAACAGCCAATCCTAATCATCTTCTTCTGGAGCTGCAGCCATGCTGGCTGGCTAACAGGTAGAAATATTGCCTTGTTTCTATCCATTTCCTGGTGTGCTTGGAGTGCCCAAGAGTTGTGGGGCAACTGGAAATAACTATCTCTGATGAGCAATGGAAATTACTTTTATAAAAACAAAATTTACCATATCATGTTTTTCTCTAATCAGAATCTTAGATCTAGCCAAACCATATGTATATAACAGAGACAAAGTTAAGTAGATACAAGACTTTTTTCAGTAAGTAAATGATCATCTGAATCTTAAACAGCCCAATGTACTCTAAATCCAAATTTAATACTTGAAATGTTGCTTTATTATAAAAAGGAATATGGCTTTATCGCAAGCTAAATTACAATATAATATAGACAATATAGAACAGGCTAACACTAAAACTACACCCATACAGCTTCCCAGGAGAAGTTCATGCAGCATAACCCCCAGCACACAGTTTTTATTTAGATAGCATCTTCACTGTGCACTAATGGTCCTCTACCACAGGTGAAGCATGTCAAATAAAGAATTATAAGTGTTCATTATGCAGTTCCTGGAACAGAAGGGCAGGGAAAGTTCTTTTAAAGGCAGTGGGACATGGGTGGCTTATAGTAATAAAGATGATTTGAAGCTAGGAGGTCTGTGGCTATGTCTTCACTGAAGAGTTAATTCATCTACAATGAATATAAAACTCCTTCCAAGTTTGTCTACTAAGAGTGAAACCTGCCATTCTGAGAAATAACACTCAAGCTGCACAGAGCGATTGGATTAGCAGTGGATGTTAGGCCAAAACTTGATTTAGTACATACTCCCTAATGTGCCAGCTAATTTCAGTTAAAAGCAACACTGTCTCTCTCTCTCTCTCTCTCTCTCTCTCTCTGTGTGTGTGTGTGTGTGTGTGCGTGTGTGTGTGTGTGTGTGTGTGTGTGTGTGTGTGTGTGTGTGTGAA